CACAGCCTTGGTAGTCCTCCAAGGATCTTACCCTCAAGTAAGAAATGTGGCTTTATAGTTGGAGTGATGATGTCTAATTTTACCAGCTATTATTAACTTGGGTGTTTGGGGTTTGTTTGTTTTGCGGTGGTAAGGAAGGAGCCCAGCACCGTGTATATGCCTCCTTTCCATTATACTACCTCTTGAAAATATTTTTTAATCTGACTGTTTTTCTCTCCCAAACCCTTAGGCCATGTCTGTTATGTGATAGGACAAATAAGAAAGTTAGTGAGAGTTGATTGAAAGCTCAGAATAGCAAATCTTCAGAATAACAGAAAATGTGATAATTGCCTTTTTATAGAAGCATAATCCCAAGGATGGGAGTGGATTTATTCTTGTTTGAGAGTCTGAACCAAGTAGGGACTCATAGGAAAATTTCCAGAGAGAATTTCAAGTGACAACCCTCAGTATTCCACAGTGGGAGGGCTGCCCATGAAACACTGAGTCTCGTCAGTGAAGTCAAACAAAAGCACAAAAACATGTGCATGGCATTTCACTGGATAGAAAGATGTGATAAAATAAAACTTCTATGGCCAACTCCCAACTCATTGGGATTTTCAAACAATATGGACAGAGATGGCCACCTTAAAGTTGATGATGCTTTTGCTGTTTCTATTGTTGTTGTTTTTTTCTCTTTAAAGCCTGAAGGATTCCTTGAATGGAGAATATTTACTTATTACAGTCCCAAAGATTCTTGTAAGTAATAGCAAGAAAGCTGCTATGAAGTGACATCTTTATTAACACATCCTCCACAGCATAGCTTCTAGCATGATCTCTCAACCTTTCTCTAATTCCTGTCCTCACATTTTCCCTTTGTTTTCAACCAAAGCCATTAATATGCTCCACTCCACTTCACTCTCTGGAACAAGACCCATCCATCCTTAGATAAAACCACTCTTAAATCTAGGTTTTAATGAAGGGGTTTTTCTACATTACATCTCCTATGTCAGACCCCATTTTTTGTACTTTGATCTGTCATTTCTTTCTTCATTGATCTGTCATTTCTTTCTTCATTGTTCTTTATTTTGGGGAAATATCTACAAACTGAACATGAAAAGCAAAATCTAATAATGCTCAACCTGCTGACTTGCTTCTATTCGAAGGTGTGGGATCCTTTCCTTGGCCTTCTATGCTGTCTGGGCCCTGGGAAATGACTGCAGTCCGTTCAGTGGGAGCAATGCATTTGCTGCACCTTTACCTTGCTGTTTCTCTGGGGTCACAGTGGTCACATGTTTCTACACTAGATAATGCCCCCTGACTGCTGAGAATCAGCTGCTGGGGGGCTTGTTTCCTCTATAGTCCTGCTTAGGACTGTCAGTAAATGGATATAGATGATCTATCTGTAGAGAATGAACATAGAGAACACTGGGTTGAAAGTTATAGAAAACGTACATGTTCGTACTAAATGGTGGCTTGGAAAAAATTGCTTTAAGTTCTTTACAGTGTGGCTTCCTTGTAAGTAACATTAAAAAAAAAAAAAACATCATCTGTTTCTAAGGGCAATTGGTTCCAAAGAAATGAATCCAATTACAAGAGAAAGGATGCTATACTGAAATGTAATGTATTTTGGTCTTCTTTTTGTGCTTCTGAGGATACATCTTTCCTGTCACAAATCTCTGTGGTTCAGAAAAATTCCCAGGTGATATCTTTATGTTTGTAAAGCATAGATCTGTAATTAAATTATAATCAAAGAACTCGGACCAGATACAATTGTTAAATGATTGTTTTAATTCTCTTATTTAGTGCACCCTTAAATATTTCATGAGTATTGTAATAATAAAAACTGCTAAATAGTTCATTTAGTTCTTCTAATTAACACAAAGAGTTCAAAAAGAACTGCATCAGTAATGGCTGCTGTGTATGGATGCTTTAGAACATTCATGATCAACTGTATTCACTTCCCAGGTTCAACTACTTTGCTTCACCATAGTACAAATAGATGCTGTATTGGGGTGATGGCATCATGTATTAAGGGAGACTGAAATGATTGATAGTTCAATATGGTGTTTAAGCTTCATGTCTTGTGATCAGACTGCACAAGTTCAAACCTCAATCCTACTGATTATTCTCTGTGTGAATGTGGGAAAGTTCCTTTGTGTTGCAACATTGGTCAGAATGGTATCACCTAGACCTAAAAAATATCAAGGCATTAAGGGACAATAAGTTACACAATCCTCCCCACAACCCCTAGAGATCCACATATGCTTGATATTCCTGGTATGTGAGTTTTACTGACATTTGAATAATTGTTATTGTAGGTCAGAATTGGAGCAGGTCTTTTGTCCTGGGTATCCAAAAATATCTAAATATGTTCTTCCATCTGAGATCACAGTTGGTTTTATTTTGGTTGTCTTTTCAATGCTAGATGGGAACCCTAAAGGAGAATGCTAGAAATACTTACAAAGCTTCTCTATTTGTCATTGTCCCCAATACAGGGTTTTGTATCAAAATCTACAGAACTGCTAGGCACTTTGGTTTTCTTAACACAAAGGTGAGATTTTATACTTTAGATCATTCAAAGTAACTACAGTCCAGAAGGACACGATTCTTCAATAATTCTTAGAAGGTCTAAGACATGGCTGGAGTCATTACCATTATTAAGACAATTGAAGGTCTAAACATGGCTGGAGTCATTACCATTATTAAGAAGGAGGTTCCAGGGAACACTAAATGGACATCAAATCCTGCTCACCTTTCCCACTTGTGTCAACAACAGAGAGTGACCACCACATGGCCCTGTGTGGCAAGCTTCACAGTAGCTCCAAACCACTAAGCAAGGGCACGTCAGTATAAATGCTGACAGCCTTAATAATCAGTGTTTGCACTGCTGTTAAAATATTTTAATATGCTAATTGGGTGGCCTTGCTCCTTTGTCCAAAAGCTAAATTTATTCTAGAGCCAAGCTTTAATTTTATGGCATATTTGAGATAGGTGTTCAATGTTACAAGAAGCCCAAAGGGCCTATGTCCAGAGAAATTAACCCCAAGCCATTGCTCAGCTTAAGCCTTCAATTAAATCATAAAAACTACTCTGCTAAGTCATTCCTATTTTCATCCTGTGGATAATCTCTGAATTTTTCCCTTATAACTAAAACAGATAACCTACTTCTAGTTAATATCTTATTTAATTTTAGTAACACACGATTCTAAGAACATCTTTTTCTCTTTAACTGAATATGCAGGAACAAGAGCTAGAAAAGATTAGCGGTATATAGAAAGAGGGTTTATATTAAGAAGTCAATCCACTCAGGAATAAAAAATAGCATAGGAATTATCTTTAAAAAAATCAGTTAGCTATGAAGAGATTAAAATATTGGTCTGGTGACATATTCTTTTTATTAAAAAGCAAAGGCAAGGTTTGTGATATCTTTATGAGATTCTTGAGTTTAGAGTTTATGACTCTCCCAGTATATGTTCACAACGCACCCTGTGTGTTGGTTTTTTGTATGAGATGACAGAGTCCTATGGCAAGAATTGTAGGACATAAGAATTGAAATCTACACCCCATGCTGTGAAGAGAATAACAGTGGTAGAACTTCCTACTCCTTTGCTGATTCTTTTTATGGTTGTATCAGTAAGTCAGTGGAGGTGAGCTGCCCAGTGGAATTCACCAAGGCATCATTCTTCAGTTAAGGAAATCGTCAAAGAAAAGCTTAATTAGATAAGAAACATTAATACTCTGAGCAAGTGAGACAATGAGTAGCTAGAATGTACACCAAGCCATTCTCAAAACTTCTCTTATACAACAGAAAGAAATTAAGGTAGAAAAATGAAACATCCAAGTTTGTTAACAGAGACACCTCCAGTTTATAGAGCTTCAAGTCTAGTCATGGAAAGACTCTTCCATCATCGTAGAATGAAGAGGATATCATCTGTGTATATTACTTGAAAATCTACTGAGATTTGTCTTGAAAAAGAAGACAATAGTGAGGCAAACTAAGGATGACATGTTTTGCACTTGATAGAATACTTATAAAAAGAAAGTTAGGAAATTTTCACATTTCTATATAGAATAAGCTAGTTGTTATATGAAGAGCAATACTGTCGGGTGCAGTTCAATGTCTGATGAATACATCAGACACAGAGAAACCAACCTTCTTGGAGTGAAGGACACTGTTGGACAGTGCAGGAGGTAAAACTGTCAATGTAAATAGGAAGAAGATTTTAACAGTGTTGGCATGCTACCTTTAAGCTAGGAGTACAATGATTAAGAGTGTTAGATGCTCATTTTTTTTAGAAGACCATTTTTGGCTTTATTTCAGAATATCAGACATGCATAATGATGAAGAAAAGTATATACTATTAATTACATTCCTCTTGTGAAGGAAAAACTAGCAGGTCTAGTGTAGAAAGACCAGTAAGATGTGAAGAAGTGACTAGTAGAAGAGTCTAAACAAGGAGTTCAAATCTGAAAGTGCACAAAGCATGACAAGTGATGTGAGATCCACAGACAGTAAATAGTGAAGAATCTGAGACCACAAAACTCATTTGTAACATTTGTGAAGCAGGTAAAACAGAATGAAGCTGCAACCAATGTAAATTTGATTTTTTTCTCTTCTAACTTCGAAGAATCAAAGGGTATGGAAGTAGCTGGGTAGATTAACTGAATGCTGTACAGTCATGATAACCTGAATTTGATCTTCAGTACTAACATAGAAAGCTATGTGGAGAGCTTGAGATTAACAGATCCCTGTGGATTGCTGGCCGGCTAGCTTTGAGACATTCCATACCAGTGAGAAAACCTATCTCAAACACAAGGTATAAATATCTTGAGGACACAAGAAGTTGTCAGAACTGCACACGCGTATACATATACACTCACAAAACAACAACAAAATAAAACCCCACAGACAAATGTACTTTGAAAAACATAATAAAAGCTTTCCTTATGGTACTACAAATCTATCTTCTCATTACCCTATAGTGAAAGTCCATTTTGTGTTTGCTGTTGCTTCTCCCCAGACTCAGATTAGCCCCAAAGAAGGGTGGCAAGTGTACAGCTCAGCGCAGGACCCTGATGGGCGATGCATTTGTACAGTGGTGGCTCCAGAACAAAACCTGTGTTCCCGGGATGCCAAAAGCAGGCAGCTCCGTCAGCTGTTGGAAAAGGTATGTGCCTTGTGTTCCCTGTGCATATTTTTTATTGAAATCTATCATTCTTTAGAAAGGATCTCTGATGAATATCATGTAGTTGCTCTGGTCTTAGCTCTCTTTTAACATGAGCCTTTCCTATTCTTTCAAAAGGGTATCTCAAGTTTCTGGCTATATTATTCCATTTCTATGGCTTTTTTTTGCCTTTTGTAATTATTCTTTCTTAAGACAGATTCTCTACCATACATCTTAATACCCAGCCAATTTCTCTCTTACAGGGTTCAGGAAGCACGGAGTGTTCTTCGGATGCTAACAATTCAGTCTCAGCTCTAAGGATCACACAAAGCTCTTTGAGCTCATACATTAGACTCTTACTAACCATCTTGCTAGGAAGTTAAAATAATGGCATGAAATATGCAAGCTATTGGGACAGATAATGAATAATTCTGAGTGTTTATCATCATTTTCTAAATCATTCCTTTGAACATTAAGCTCTTCAGTTCCATTCAATGGCATTCTTTCCATAATTTACTTAAGCTGGATCCATAACAATCAAATGCAGAATGCCCTTGATTTGTTCTCTTTTACAGATGAGAGTCAGCTCATGAAAGGTTGTTTATGTGTATTTAGGAGGGGGAAAGCCAATGAGTGCTCCTTTCAATGGTCGCCATTCAGACTCACACTGTGCAGGGTTCTGAATACAGTAGGACAGCTGGGGTGGTCAGAGCGATGCAAGGATGACAACATGTTTGAATTTTAAGTGTCATGCGAAGAAAGAGATGAATTAGAAAGTGTGCTGTAGAGGACACCACGCTCTCCACTTCACTCTGTGTTGTATCATTTTTGTGATTACGTACTCCAGACACTAGATGGGAAGTTTTCCACCTGAAATTGAGATATCCAGGAGAAGGAAAGAACCTAACATGCTAAAATAAACAAATGTTCCTTATCTTAAGCCAAGCTACCACTTTCTCCTCAGTGTCATAAGGTTTCCTCTATGCGCATCATTTAGGAATCCTTCGATAAACAAGTCTGTTTCTCTTCTCCCTCTCCTTGGTGCTATCATCTTCCTCTCTCTCTCCTCAAGCCTCCTTATATGGTAAGAGTCCATTCTCCCTGCCCCCAGCTAGAGCAGGTGCCATTTTTCATTAAAATCTCGGACTGTTAGAAATTATTATAGGCATATTTTGATTACTTTTGTGATATTGATTTCTAGTCTTATCTTTTTAAGAAAAATTAAAATTTATTTTTTAGTTACCAGGGAAATTAATTTTGGTAGAAAATGGTTTAACCTTTTAAACACACTTTTCTCTTCTATAAAATTGTATTTCTACTCAGATTACCGACAGTCTGAAACGTCCTTTTACTTCTACATAAAATACATAAGAAAGATTTTCTTAAATGTTATAGCTTCATATAATGTATTAGTATTGTTCGGTAGCATGTGGTGATATATTGTGTTCCCAAATATTGTGCACCCTAATAAAGTTTATCTGAGGACCAGAGGAAAAAGCCAGCCACTATGTTAAACATAGAAGTCAGGCAATGGTAGCACATGCCTTTAATCCCAGCACTAACCATAGGAGGTCTGGAGGTATGTACAGACAGACAGGAAATGATGTAGCTGGGCAGAGAGAGGAAATGAGATGGCAGAACAGGAAGGCATATAGGCGTGGGTATACAGGAAGTAGGTCTCTTTGGAGACTGAGGTGTCGGTGAGGTGAGGTTCTCTGTGGCTTTTCCTATCCCTCTGATCTCTCAGGTTTTTACCCCAATATCTGGCTCTGGGCTTTTTATTAGTAAGACTGTTTAGCAATTCATGTTACATTTGGTGGCTGAACATTTGTGGCAAGAATTCACTTGTGGCCTTATGGTTCCCTGGCTCAGGCCCAAGCTGCATTCAGCCTGAGTCTCTTTGGCTTTTTCTCTCCTGGTGGTTGGTGGGCTCTCTCTGGATTCCTATCTTGGACTGCTACCACACTGCTTTGAATTCCCTCAGATGTTGGGGCATCCATCTTAGGCCTAAAGGCCTAGATACCTGACAGACTTTTCCCATGGGTATCAGCAACGCATGGCATATCAAGTTGCTGTAGGACTAAGCTCTGCCCCTTGTATTTGGACTGGGCAAAGCAACCCAGGATGAGGAATAGGTATCTAAGAGCCAGACAAAGCATTAGGAACAGCCTTTTCTCCCACCGCTAGGAGTCCTACAAGTACACCAAGCTACACAACTGTCACAGATACATTGAGGGCCTAAGTCAGTCCCATGCAGGCCCCCTAACTATTGGTTGTCTCTCTTAGCTCCTATGAGCTCAGGTTAGTTGTTTCTGTGGGTTCAATGACCTTGATCCCCAGGCTCATTGGATCCTTTCTCTCTCTCTTCAGTAGGACTCCCCCAGCTCAGCCGATGCTTTGTTGTGGGTCTCTGCAACTGTTTCCATCAGAGGGTTCTCTGATGACAATTGGGATTGTCACCAATCTATGAGTATAGCAGAACGTCTACATTTTTTTCTCCAATAGTGTTTGGTTCTATCCTATGTCTCTGGGCCATCCAGCCTCTGGGTCTTAGCACTCCAGGCAGTGTCAGGAGAGGGCTCACTCTCATGGTATGTTTCTGAGGCTGAACTAGTCATTGGTTGGCCCCTCCCACAATCTCCAAGCCATATACCCTTAGCCTCCTTCAGGATAAGGACAGGCAGGACAGCCTATAGGTCAAAGATTGTGTGGCTGGGCCAGGCTCCCAATCCCTCCTCTGGAAATCCTGCCAGGTCAGAGTAGATGGCCAATTCAGTCTACACATCTATCATTGCTAGGAGTCTTAGCTGAGGTCATCCTTAGGAATTCCTGGGAGCTTCCCTTGCACCAGGTTTCTACCTGACCCCTAAGCCTGATCCCTCAAGTTCCCATCTCCATCCACCCCCAGTCCACTAGGAACTCTCTTCTAGTTCCCTTTCCCGGGGAATTCCATGCCTCCCTCCTTGGGCCCTCCTTGTTACCTAACCTCTCTGGATCTGTGGATTGTAGCCTGGTTATCCTTTACTATACACCTAATATCCACTTATGAGTGAGTACATACCATGTTTGTCTTTCTGGGTCTAGGTTACTTCACTCAGGACAATTTTTTTCAAGTTCAATCCATTTGCCTTCAAATTTCCTGATGTTATTGTTTTTAACAACTGAGTGATACTCCATTATGTAAACACACCGCATTTTCTTTAATCCATTTTTTTGGTTGAGAGGCATCTGGGCTCTTTTCAAGTTCTGGCTATTACAAATAAAGCTGCTATGAACATAGTTGAGCAAGTATCCTTGTTGTATGCTTGAGCATCATTTGGGCATATGCCCAAAAGTGGTATAGCTGGGTCTTGAGGTAGAACAATTCCCAATTTTCTGAGAAACTGCCATATTGATTTGCAAAGTGGCTTTTCAAGTTTACACTCTCACCAACAGTAGAGGGGTGTTCCTCTTGCTCTACATCCTCCTCAGCATAAGCTGTCATTTATGTTTTTGATCTTAGCTATTCCATCTGTAAGATGGAATCTCAGAGTCATTTTGATTTGCATTTCCCTGATGGCTAAGCATATTGAACATTCCTTTATCTTGTGATTTGAGATTCTTCTGTTGATAATTCTCTGATATCTGTACCCCATTTTTTAATCGGATTATTTGGGTTTTTTGATGCCTAGTTTCTTAAGTCCTTCATATCCATTCAATCCTTACAAAAGACATGGTTCATTTTCTAAATTTAATCAAAAGTAATCTTTTCCTTTCTGAGTCTTTCAATGTTACTTAGCTTACTAGCTGTAGTGTTATATCAGATTGCTTTTACAGAGTTTTTATGTCATTTACCATATCACTAGTGGTCTCAACACTATTAAGAGTTGCTATCTCTGTCCGATGTATTAACAAATATATATGTTAATTAATAGCTTGGGTCTTAGTGAACCAGAAATAAAATTGTTGGCCTAAAAGTTTGCTTATTAGCTACATAGTTTTGTGTATTACTACAGGTATTCTTCATTGCCTAGGTCAATATTTCCTAAAATATGATTTTGGACTAGGAAGTGAGTAACATTTTTACCAATAAAATCAATTCAAGGACACTATACACAGTAATTCACCTTGAAGATTTCAAAAGCAGTGTAAAAACCATACTTCCTGTAAAGTCTCGCAGTCAAGAAACTGCTGTTCTTATTGTTAAGCCAAAGCTAGACAAACATATTGAGCCATAGTTTGTTTGTTTTTTATTATAAAGTGGTATGAGTAACAGTTATAACTGAGAGTAAAAATACATTCGTGTTCATTCAGAAAGACCTCATACATTTTATTCATAAAAAACAAATAGGACAGAGTTCAAAAAAGGAGTATCTGAGATGGGAGACAATGACTTGGCCAAACATTGCTGAAGTCTGTTAGGTAGATTTTCTTAGTTGTGACAAATATCTAGCAAAAACAAGCTTATGGGAGGAAGAATTATTTTGGCTCGTGATTTTAGAGGTTTTATTTTGTGGTCACTTGGTCCTGTTGCTCCTTGGCTGTGATAAGGCTAAACATCGTAAACAGAACCACACAACCATGTGATAGAGTGAGTCAGCAGACCAGCAGCAGGGAGAGAGGTCAATGGAACAATGTAGACATGATACACTCCTTGATGACATACATCTAAAAATTTAACTTCTTCCTGCTGGGCCCCACCTCTTAGGTTTCCAGACTGTCTCAAAATAATGCTATCAAGTGAAAATCAAACCTCTTAGGTGCCGCCTAGTGTTCAAAACATAACAGAATCCCAAACAAATATGAAAAGCTGAACTGCAGAACAGCTTCAGAGAGAAGCAGAGTGCATGAAGAAACACAGATGACAGGTCTCCCTATGAGTCACACAATGGAGAGTCAGTGTTCTGTATCATCAGGAACCTTGCTCAAGTGAGTCTCCACCAACAGGAGTAAGTTCTTCCTAGGAAGAGCTAAAGGCAACTCAGAGTCAAATGCTGCCCTATACCTCAGACATAGTCCTACAATTATTCAAGGCTGTATAATATAGATCACAACCAAGTCTCATCAAAAATTCTCTCAAAGTATTTTCCCATACCACAAATTAAGGTGAAAATTTAAATGAGAAGTGAGAGTAGCACATAAAATAAGGGACACTATTCTAACTCCATTCAGAATATTTCCTCTTGCCCCTAACCTTCTAATTGTGTAAAATATGACTAGGTACAGAAAATTCTTAGGAGGATGTCACGCATGCTAATGACAGGTATCTTTACAGTCTGTTACATATTTAAATAGGTAGCCAGCTACTTTAATGCAAATGCTTTTCTTTATTCATGCTTAACTCTAAATGAGTTTAGAAAATTACTTGAAAGCAATGATTTTATCTATGATGAAGTGTCCATGAGTTCAATGTCATCTCTAATTTTGTATTGCACTAAAAATTTTTATATGAAGCATTGCAAATATAATAATAATTTCAAATTTAAAAATATTTATAGTTACATACTGCAGTCTCTGACAGTTATAGGGAGAGAAAAACTCTCCCTAAAATAGCAAGATCCTAATTGCCATTATACTATTTGAAACCCAAGATGATTTTACTTAGGAAATATTTATTGAGCGCTTATTCTGTGTCTGGTTCTGTGTAACATCTTGAAAGTAAAAGATGTAAGACGCAGCCTCTGAGGAGGATCACAGACCAAGGGTCCTCTGCTGACATTGTCCAAGCACACATTGCAAAATTACTTTTAATGTAAGCCAGACTGTGACATGCTGGAAACAGGATGGACATGGGGAGAATTAGGGATCAAGACAAAAGAGAAAAGGAAAAAAAGAAAATTGACTTGTCTGACAAGAGGTAAAGAACGGAGGCAAGCCAGGGCACGAGAACTCACTGGCTTTTCTAAAAACAACAGTTGTGAGCAATGTATCAACTAGGGTCTCTTTATAGCTAACTGGTATGTGCATTAAGCTTTGTAACTTTACCCGATAAAAGAAGTCTACCTCTGAACAAACCATAGTTCACTCTTTTTTCAATGAAACTAGCCTTTACTAATTATTAAGCAATACACAATTACTTAAAAAAAAAATGAAAACATTCACATCTCTAAAACAAAGAAATAATTGCAATCATATCACCTTTTTGTGCTTATTCCTTGGTGCATTAACTTACGCAACCAAAAATATCATTTAATCAAAACGGACTTATACATATACACCATATACCTACATTTGTGTTCATAGAGTTTCCTCTTTCAGAAATTTAATATTAACATCTAATTATTTTCCTAATTCTTCTATGTGCATTTCTTCATGATTTTCTCTTAATAGATTATATTATCTTTTGCATGTGTGGCTGTATCTGATTATGATAAAGGATTGAATTCTGAACCCATGTTACATTTATCTCTTTTAGAAACCCTGCCTAGATGAACAGTGATTCTCAAGCTTTAAAAGTCAGCTGCAGGACTCACTTGGGAACTTTGATAAATATGCAGACTAATTGAGTGTCTTTGGAATAGTTCTGGAATGCTGATTTCTGACAAGTTTCCAGGCAAAGACAAAGTTGTTGCTCTGAAAAGAGTACAGAGATACCAGAGGTGTAGAGATCCATCTTAGTCTAGAATAATTTATCCTCATACTATTCTTCATTCAAATTCTTCCCTCGATTAGAGGCTTCCCTTTGTTTTCAGGTTTTTGTTATCACAGAAATTAGAGCAGCTTTTCTTTCTTTTTTTGCACTCTTTCTAGGTCACCTCTTTTCTACTTCGAAATAGCCTGGGGCTCAATGAACCTGGGCCAGTGCCATCAGCTTACCATGTGTTTCTGCCTATCTATGAGGCACGGTATGTTTTGGCCATTTCGCGAGTCCCTCAAACATAGGCTATGCAACTTAGAAGGTGTTCTAATCCTGCCACATTTGTCCTGGCTAACTCAGTGTTACCCTTCAGAATACTTTAAACAACCACCATGATGTAACCGCAGTGAAATCAGTATGAGTTGATATCAGGGTTCAGTGAGCTCTTCTGGAGGGAATCCAGGTTCCTGTGTTCTAGAATTAAAAAAAAAAAAAAAAAGAACCTGAGAAGGGGCACAGAGATACAGCGGTGGCAGAGCATAGTTAGGAAAAGATATGTTTTCAAGGGAGGAAGTGGGTTGGAGGAATGAGAGGGAGTTAAGTAGCTCTGTGTCTCAATGAACAAAGGATACAGGCTTTTATGTTACACACCCTGGGCTTTTTGGAGTCATTTGCATTTGGGGCTCATTTGCACCTGTATAGGATTTCTTACACATATTCTGTTGCTCTCAGCTCTGCAAAATAGTTCATGCATTGTGTGTCCTTAGCATTTTAAAGCTTCACCCTGAGATGTATGCTAGTATTATAATAAACAAAAGACCAGCTTCAGACAGTCTGAGGATGCACTGTACCTGCTGGGATGGTGGAATTGAGTGGTGGAGAATGAGGGCTCCTAGCCTTTCTCTCTGCCAAGTGGTTTCTTTTATATACTTTTGTTCATCCTTTATGGAGTCTCCATCTCACTCTCTTCCTTATTCTTCTGCCTCAAAATGGTTAAACTCTAACTCTGTTGGAGGTGTCACTACCATACTGTATAGCCAGAAGCTTTCTCTGTTGGAGGTGTCACTACCATACTGTAGCCAGAAGTTTTCTCCGGTCTCACCTGTCTCCAAGGTCCAACAGCTGCTTATAAAATAATCATTCAGAGGCTTAATATTAATTACCAATTGCATGGCGTATGGTATGCTTCTTGCTAGCTAGCTCTTATAGTTTGACCCATTTCTATTAATCTATAAGTTGCCACGTAACCATGGCTTACTGGTACTTTTACATCTTGCTTCTCCTGGCAGCAGCTGGCATCTCTCCTGTCTCTCCTTTCTCTTTTCACTATCTCTCTTGGATCTTCCTGCCTATCTCCATCCTGCCCTGCCATAGGACAATGCAACTTATTTATCAACCAATCAGAGCAACACATATTCACAACATACAGAAAAGCATCCCACAACACCATACACTGTTGCTAAATCCCTCTGACATTTCAAATGTAAGAAACAGCATTTACAAACATATTTTATCTCAACATGCATCACCTTGAGGCATTATAACCTTATGAGGCCTTGGAATGAAACTAATTTTAATTTTTTTCTAATCTACTATCTTCTTGCTTTTTTGGCCATTTCTAATGATGTATGTCCAATTTTTATAACATGCATAGGTATAATTTCCTTTGGCTGGATTCTTTGAATGCTTATTGAAAGTAATCTTGAAAATGTGACAAGCAGACATGCATTCATAGATTTGGTACTTCTGTTCTTCATTCTAATAACATTGTGATACTTTAGTAGAGATTGCATGTATCCATCAACAGAGAATAATATACAACCAATGGCTTCATTTGACAGGTACAGAATATGTCCCAGTCTATAGAAGTCTTAAACTTGAGAACTCAGAGAGATTTCCAGTACGTCTTAAAAATGGAAACCCAAATGAAAGGGCTGAAGGCCAAGTTTCGGCAGATTGAAGATGATCGGAAGACACTAATGACCAAGCATTTTCAGGTAGGTGTGAGTCCTGCAGTCTTATCAACTCAGCGCAGTAGGCAGCTAGCATGTCACTCAGCTAGAAATCACTATGCCTTAGCCCATGCATGTATACAAAGTTAAGGACTCACTGGGGAGTCAACAGTCTTGTCAGTAAAAAGTGACCATTAATAGCCAGGAACACATAGAAAACTACTATTAAAAGAAAAAGAAGGTGCCTCCCAACCCTGAGGTATGTGGAGTTTCTGAGTATGTATTTACAGGCAATTTACCATCTAGAATATTCCCAGGAATATTAATAATTAAGTCATCAAAGCTTTTTCAAATTGTAAACTTTTAATTTTTTTTTTTTTTTTGGTTTTTCGAGACAGGGTTTCTCTGTGTAGCTTTGCATCTTTCCTGGAACTCACTTGGTAGCCCAGGCTGGCCTCGAACTCACAGAGATCTGCCTGGCTCTGCCTCCTGAGTGCTGGGATTAAAGGCGTGCGCCACCACCGCCCAGCTCAAATTGTAAACTTTTAAAGGGAGCAATGATGCCATTGATAAAAGGATGTTTAAAACGATAGTTTTCTAAGTTTACACAAACAAATTCCTTTTTTAAGATTGCAATGGTTTAATGCCAACTGTCTAGAAACTAAAAATGGAAAAAATATGTTAAGCATGCTATGCAGACTTTATTAATGATATAGTACAAAGTCACTTATTTAAAAAACTTCTGAAAATGACACTTGAGCCTCTATTAAAATAATTTATCTGTCTTAAAAAAGCATAGTACAGAGTTTTCAAAAAGATCAAGGTTGTTCATATGTAGCATCTTTTCCCCCCTCTGTCAATTAGACAGTGAGGTTCAATCCTAGTGTAAAAGGAATGACTTGTATTCAAGCTTGTGGTCAAGGACTTTGAGCATACATAGAGTTAGTTACAAACAGGATCCTTGCCAGGTACATTTTAAAGTGGTAAAAATCATCATGTTTTGGAATTTTCCCTGTAGCCTCGGGAAATTAAGGACAGAGGTTTAGATGACAGACATCAATACATAATCAGTTTCAAACAAAGAAAAAGAAGATATGAAAGCTGAGGATATTGAAAAGAGAGAAGGTTGAAGTGATTAAATTATGTAATTTGAGCTGAAGAGAGACTTAAACAAAACCAGAAAGGGGGGGGGGGGGGAATTAGAGCAACTCCTAGAAGACACAATGCACTTGAAGATTATAGGAAATAAAACTTTGAGCTGGAATAACAGTCAAAAAAATGTGGGAAAATGGTAAACAGAGAGAAAGACAAGGTTTGAGATCAGGAATCCATGTCAACCAGAATTCACTGGGCACATACACTCTGTGAGGCAGGGCCAGGCCTTTCTTGGAGGAATGAAGCGCAAGCTCCTCCCATGAAAGACAGGTGATAGGGAACAAGATTGGGCTCCAGTGACGACTGAGCATCATTTGAGAGAGCAAAGAGAAGAGCTGTTCATTTGTTCACTGAAGATCTATTGAAGGTTTAGAGATTTGACAGTGTTCAAATGTGACCTCCTTTCCCCAGATACTAAATTCCAGAGAAGATCTAGAAACTCAGGGTTCCAGGATCCACTTTCAATGCTCAGAACTAGAGAGCAGATGGACAAGTAGCAATGTGAACCTGGAGCTGTGCTGTTAACAAAGTAGAAGGTTATAAATACTGAGGTGGAAGAGAGAAATGATTCCAGAAAAGACAGCAGCAACAGGGCAGGAGCTCATGCTGCATGTCAGGATACAAAGTACTGAAGACTTGGTAGAACCAAGGAACCATGTAATCTGCCCTGGGTCAGCAGGACCAGGGATGTAGATGCAGGAAACAAAGAAGTGTGAACAAAGCTGAGTGAAACCAAAAATATTTGTCCTAGTATATAGGATTTTTGCTTAGCAAAAGCCATGATGTTATTGTATTTTCAGGAAGTACCATATGATTATGGTTTTGATTTTCACAGTTCACATAATCCAAGGATATGTTGGAAATGCCAAAAATCTAAATATCAGTAATCACAATAATAACCATTTTTCTGAACATACATATTCACAGCAAAGTTCAGAGCACTTTAGTGTACTTACTGATTCAATCATCATACCAATCCTGTGAGGTAAGCATTGTTTTGCTGTTTTTAACCCTAGAGGATGAATTAAAACACAAACTATGAGTAAATTTTCTAGCATGTGACTAAAGATTCAAGTTGACAAAGCCTAGCTCCAGACCTAGAGATCTGAACTGATAAAGTAGTTCTCTGAATTAAAATTAGAGTAATAGGGACTGCAGACTAGGCTCAGTTGGTGAATTACTTGCAATATGAGAATAAGGACTTGATTTCAGATCCCTAGCATATGTGAAAAGGTGGCAGAGTTAGGGGGATGCACACCTGTCTCCTCAGCATTGGAAATTAAAAATAGACATTATCCTAAAGCTTGTTAGCTAGCTAATTTAACCTAGTAGGTGAGCTCCTGGATCCATTGAGAGAACCTATCTTAAAAAAAAAAAAAAAACATAAGCAGAGTATGACTGAGGAAGACACTTGACACCAACATGTGGCCTCCAAAGTGATGTGTATACACACACACACACACACACACACACACACACACACACACATACATATGTATACACATACACAGTTACAAACATGCATACCCACACATGCCTACACACATACATATATACACATACAATATGCACACCAATACTCATGCCCACATCCCCACATTTATGAGCACATCCCACTGCATTCAAATCCGAGTAACAATTAGAGGTTCAACACATGCTTGTGAAACTCATTTCTTCACTGAGTTACATCATGCATCACATTTCCCTCTAGGTACAGAGATAACATAGGCTAGAAGTAGAACATTCTAAAACCAAGTTTAAGCTGAAAATTACTATATAAAAATCTCTCTTCTGCTGCAAAATTTTCATCTCATGACAAACACTGTCAACTTTTTCTTCTCTGATCTTTCAAGAGGAAAGCCAAGCTAGCCATCATAGTAAAATCAATTGTTGTTGGTAAGATATTATTGCCAGAGCTACACAGTGGAAAATAAAATTCCATGAGGTATTAGCAAAGCCAGATCTATGATAGTATAATTTTATTTTATAAATATGTGTGTGAATATATATATATATATATATATATACAGCCCTCTAATAAATGTCCAAAGTTTCAAAATTGATTGCCCAAAGTCTAACAATTTTTGAAAAAATAAAAAATTTGTAATTCATCACTGAAAAGATACTTTGAAAACTTTGATATCAGATTGCTCCTTTGAATACACCCACTGGTAGAATGAAAAAGCTTTCACTGTGGCTGTTGTTATAATTTGCAGCAAATGGTATGAGCAGAGCTCTTATCGTTAAAATTCTAATGAAACAATTGTGTCTCCCTTTAGGGGTACCAAAAGATGCTTAAACTAATAGGCTTATTTCAAAATGAGCCCTAAAATGAGCAACACTCTGCAGTTCTGCCTTTTGACTGCAATAGTTATGAATCTTCCTCATTACTAAGATTCTTTATCCCTCCAATTCAACATGTACATGGAGACACATTCAAAGATTTCCAAATTTATAGGATACGTAAAAATCTCCCCACAAGAAACACAAACCCATGAATCAGGGCAACAACATGAGCTTCTGCTACTCGAATGTATTTATAGTAATAAAGTTTCCTAAGTTTAATTTAAAAATGCAATTTTCTGTTCCTTAAATAATTGTACAGCACCTATAGGTTATTCTTAAATGATCATAAGCTTGGAACTCCTTCAACAGATTATATCATCTGCAATAAATTCAGAGTTGAGTCAAGCTCCTGCAATACTTTTGTTGTCCACAGCTACCACGTTAAAGGGAAAGAAGTATGGGTGGCAAGTGCAGAAGTTGCAGGTAAAGGTGCAGTTGTGACCCAGTCCTGTGATGACTAGGAATGGAGGACACTGATTGACAACATACACTGCTTGATCTCTTGACAAAAATTAGTGTTTAAGTGTTGAACAGCTCTGTGTAGCTGGCCCAACTTTTAAATATTATCTGTGTACCTTCTTCCCTGAAGGAGTTAATTCACTACATAGGTGGCTAAGCAATTCTGCCTTCTGTAATGACACCTAAATTATCTATGCTATAAGACAAATGGAGACAGAAGGTGGCTAATAATTCAAAATGGAAACAGCAGTATTTATCTCCTCAACCTTTGGGAAGTTTAGTATGATTTATCATGTTGTTGAACTTACTGTCTGATGAAGTTGTCCTAAGATGGATATTCTAAAGGGTAAGGAACACCTGAGCACAAATAAAGACAAAAAAGTACATGACCATAGCTAGAAACAGTCTTAAGTTCAAGGAAAAGGCTGATCTAGAATTGAATTTTTTTCGTTATGCAATTCTATGGCATGGATATTCAATGGTTGGATAATTCATTTTCACTAGCTTCTCATAGGATGTTTGATCTCTTTCTATTACCACCATTCAATACATCATTGGAAAAAGGGATCATGTCTCTGTTTCCAAAATAGATGATGTATTACTCACTTCATAAAAACTAGCAGAAAGTAAGATAATACAAAAGGCCATAATTGCTATGACAGGAAGGTTTTTCTAATTATGATAAGGATCGATTTATTTTATATTGAAGCATGTATCTTCTTAAAGAGAGGTCACTGTGTTAATAAGCTGAGATAGGCAAATTTATTACTAACGACCACATGGCCAGTTGCATTATCAAAGCCTACCTAACTTCAACCAAAAAAAAAAAAAAATCAATGAAGAACTCTGAAGCTGTTTCAATGAGCTCCTTTACATGTTATATGCAATGAACGTAGATGCTTTTTTCTGTTTTAAATGACTCTTGGAAACATTCTGCTGCTTTCCACAGGAATTGAAAGAGAAAATGGATGAGCTACTGCCCCTGATCCCAGTTTTGGAGCAGTACAAGACAGATGCAAAGCTCATCACACAGTTCAAGGAGGAAATTCGGAACCTGTCCTCAGTCCTCACTGGGATTCAGGAGGAAATCGGTGCCTATGACTACGAAGAGCTCCACCAACGGGTTCTCAGTTTGGAAACCAGGCTGCGAGACTGCATGAAAAAGCTAAGTGAGTAGAGGTCATTCAGTTGCTAAAGTCATGAGACTCAGTTTCCAGGAAGACTGAGTCCTCACACTGAAGGAATTCAGAGTGATACTGAGTCAGGCCAGGGTTACTGGACCAAGTGTCCCTTAGTCAATTAAGCACGGCTGAGAACTCTTATTTAAGGTCCTGCAATGTCAAGGCTCTGTGACTTCAGATAACTACTCTGCTGAATATAAGCAGCTGTGTTAGCTACAGTACTGGATAGAAGGTTCCTTTTTCTAAACATGAGATGGCCATATTTGCTTGGCTGGGGGAGGAAAAGCTTTCTTCCATTTTTTCTTGTTCTGTTTTGTTTTTCCGCTTTTGGGTGTTTGTTTGTTTGTTTTAGTTGTTGACAGTGTGTGAAATGATCAGATGTAAATTCAAAGACAAGTGTTCTCAAAACTACAAAATAAAAATCTATTCTGGAATAGTCAAAAGGCAAGAGGGGTAGCATGCTTTAAATAGATTATTTGTAGCAAAGCACGCTTCAGTGCATCCATGTAAATGTTTAAATAAAATCTGAATGGTTACAAAAACCATTTTGGACACTATTTAAAATGTAATGCAAATGATTAAAAAAAGAACAAAAATGCAAAATGTTGCATTATGTGAAAGTTACCACAATCACCAAAATTAGAAACAATTAAGAGAGGAATTCCCACATCCGAGTCCCCACTATAGTCATACCAATTTCCAAAGAAAATCACACAAGATTAATTCACAAGAAATAAAGTGAGTTCAAAGGCTACACAAAAATGCATAGAAATCTTCATTTCTTCTTTTAGTTGAAAATTATGTTTGCTAAATATTGTGAACACACTTTTCTCATCCCTCAACTCCTCCCAGATCCTCTCACCCTCCCTGATCATCCAACCATATGCCATTTCTTTTTCTCTCAAACAATTTCATCCATTCCCCCAAGAAGAATAGTCTGGGTGACACATTGAGTTAATAAAGCTTTGCTTTATTAACATCTTGAAGTATGTCAATTGTGTTTTTGAACAATTAACACAGAAATCATGATTCACTCAATTTTAGGAATTAGTTTACTGTGCAGTCTCTGATATTACTGAAATAGGTAGGTAGATAAAAATAGCCTACCACAACTGAGTAATTCTGGATTCTATTTTTAAAAACCAAACCATATATAGCTCACTACACTTGTCTTCTTCCAATACTGGCAATTATACTTAAGTGAAATAATGTTAATCTATATGGTCAAAAGTTCCCCCTTTTTGCATTATTTTTGAAATATGTACACTTTGTCCATGGTGTCCTTAGACATAAAAACTTGATATAATATATTAATTATATCTGATGTGTATACATATGATTACATATATAACCATATATCATATATATGTTATTTACTATCATGAATCATTTTATTCATTTCCTTCATAGACCACAAGGTCTGAAAGAATGCAACAAATAAGTTTCACTAACTAATGTTTCTTTTCTTTTATTTGTGTTCAGTTATTTAGTTTTCAGTCCTGGGACTCAAACCCAGAACAATTTATATGTTGAATTTAATTACTCTGATACACTTACTCTAACAGTCAATAGATTAAAAGTATCAAACAATAACATCTGTACTCATTTCTCCTAATAAGATAGCTGCTCATTGCTTTAACTGACATGTAGCTATAAAACATTGAAAACTCAGCAGTGCCTGTGAGGAACTGGTTTAGAGCCTCACAAATATCCAAATTTGCAGTTGTTAAGTCCCTTTGTATAAAGCAGTATGGTACTTAACAATACCTATGAATGCCATCTCATATGTTTTATGTAATTTCTAGATTCCTTATAAAACCCAATCCAGTCCAAATATAGAGTAAATATGGTTTAGGCAAAAATGACAAGAAAATTAGTCTGTACATGCTTACTACAGATGAAATCATTTTCCAAATACTTTTTATTCCTGGTTAGTTGAGCTTGAAAATATGAAACCCATGAAAATAAAGAGTAAGCTGTAGTTGTACTATTTCATGAACTCTTTTCAATTGTCAGGAATCATTGTCTCCTAGTCACTTAGCATAATGACCAGTGGGTTTTGTCTAAAAAAAAATGTGATTTTTGTCCTTCCCACTATTTAGATCAATTAGCCACTTAGTAAGCATCACTGAACAGAGAAGAAGTTTTAAATAGAGAATCTAAATTGTAGATGAAAGGTGAATATACATGACAGATGATAGATGATAGATGGATAGATAGATAGATGATAGATAGATAATAAATAAATAGATAGTAGATAGATACATAGATAGATACATAGATAGATAGAGACACAGAGATAGAGAAATAGAAATATAGACACATGGTAGATGCATACATGGGTAGATGATAGATGGATAAAAATGGGTATCATATTGTGTGTGTGTGTGTGTGTGTGTGTGTGTGTGTGTGTGTGTGTTGTGTGTCTGTGTATGTGTGTGTACAGAGAAACAGAAACTAAAGCATGAAATTTCAAGGTGTCACTGGGCTAGGGTTTGATTAAAATACATTTGACTTAGTATCTGCATTTCTTGGTATTGGTACAAGCTGGATGAATTCATCTCTGAGAATCCTTTCAACGCCATAATCATTGTTATCTTCCAAGCACCAGGATATTAAAGCATCAGACCATAGAATCTTGGGAGGGAGGAAAGACAGTACTTAATTAACAACAGGACCATTATCACAAAAAATAGAGGAGAACATATCATGGAGTCAACATTTCAAAGAATCTAAAAATCAACTTGCTACAATGCTCAGAAAGACACACACACACACACACACACACACACACACACACACACACACACACACAGAGAGAGAGAGAGACAGACACAGACACAGACACAGACACAGAGATGGCAAGAGGGGGGATTGCAATCTAGTCTAATGAGTAAGAAGGCTCATTCATGACTAGCATCTTCACTCTTGACAGAAGCCTCTCAGCACACAGCTGATTAGCAGAGGGTAGAAATGAACTGGGAAGTGAGAATAAAATTGCAACAATTGTGAGTGCATTTCCCTCAATTTTCTTCCCCAGTGGAGTTAGTTTTAAGTAAAATGTCAGAGGGCACAGCACATAAATCTGAAGATTGAAAATTAAACCAGCTTCCCTGTCTTCAAGGACCCTCCCGAACAGTAAACAAGGCCCCCAGGGAATCACAAGTCCTGCAGGCTACAAAGGCAATATTCTGTTTATTTCAATGGAAAAATTAAAGGTTTGCAGTGAGTAGAAACCAGACAAAACTCCCACAGCAATGCACCCTCGTGGCCTGAGTGAAGTACAATGATGCTTTTTCAAAAGTATTCCACTTTCTCCTCTGAGAGACTGAATAGAATAAAGTCCCCTGCGCTTAATTAAATCGTATCAGATTTCATGACATGCAGAATATAATTATATGCTTGTGAAAACTTGCCTGAGAAAGCGTGGTTAAAACTCTTACACACCCCCTGAGATCACCAACAGATATTTGATGGAGATAATAACCAGGCTTGCCCCCATCCCTACCCTACCCCACCCTATTCCCTCTTGCTGCTTCTATTTTTAGGGCAATGATTTGGTGCCCTCTAGTGAAACAGGGGGATACATCTTTTTACTAAAACAGCCATTTGAGGTCAAGGTGATGAGACCTCTCTTACTATATTTTATGGAGAATTTGTTTCTTACAATGGAAACCAAATTTTCTATGTGCCTGTAGATATGTTTGTATACTCAACAAATATTTTTGACACCATGATATGTGCTGGCACTTTGTTGGATATTTGAGAAGCCAAGAATTGTAAAAGACCATCTCCCTGAGGTAAACAAGCTCATCTTTCAGCAAGAATAGCAAGCACATAAATAGGTAATTGCCACAAGATTGGGTGCCTACTGCTTGAAAGGCAGTATGCCAGCTGCTTTACATATTTGTTTTAATCCCTCAAAGAACTCTGTGCTACACATTAGCATTGATGACTTAAGGAAACTCACAAAAAAAATCAATGAACTTCCATAGATTATAAAGGTTATAACAACTTTAAGCCTAAGTCCTTCTTATTTTAAAATCAGATTTCTTTCCCACATATGATATCTTTTTTTACCCTAAAACAACTTTACTATTTATTTTTAACATAAATTACAGGAGAAAGAACATCTCGTTCAAGGAAGTAATGGCGTTTTCCACATATCACATAATGAAACCGTCATTGAAAGGATAAATTTTATAACTGTGTATATACATTTAAATATATGCCCAAGGCAGATACTTATTTATATTTACTCCTTTTGTAAAATTACTTTTCACATTAGAGACATTGTTTAGGTAGCTCAGGAAATTTTTTAATAATAATTTAATAGTTGTAACTACCATCCACCCATCCTATTGTTGTGGCCCAGAAGGAAGTGTGAGAGACAGTCATTTGTTCATTGGCCCCTGAAGCTCACATCTCCCACACAGTCACCACATCTTCTTACTCCTCCTTTACACTTTCCTCCAAACTGTTACTCTCTGCATCCTCATTTTCACCCCCCAAGTCTGGAAATTCATTCACCATGTTTCAGTTGGAATCTGCAATGAGTACCCCCCCTTACCACTTGGATTAACTGAAGACAGACCTTCTCCATTGCTCTCTGTATTTATTCTATTTTTTTTTTCTAAGCACAAATTGGGGCATGTTACAGTTATATGTGAGGCATTTACCTTGAAAACTGAATCCAGACACTTCTGCATGTTTATGTCAGTGACATGGATACTACACCATTCCCCTCCTCTTCTAAGACCTCAGCATGCACCCTTCTTCTGTCCCAAGCTTTGAACATTCTCATCTTTCATTTCCCCTCTATTGTATATTTTAACCCTCCCGGGCATTGAATTTCTTTATTTTCCCCTGAAACACTCTTCCTACTTAACTGCTGAAACCCTAACACTCTTAATTGTGCACACAAGACACCAGCTCTTTTGAGCAGCCTTACTTGATTGCACCTGCAAGAGTGTGCATTCCCATGGCAT